AAGTGCGGGCCTAATTTTATAAAGCAGAGTTTTTAAAAAGTAATATTTTAAGTATTTTATTATTTAGTTAAAAAATACTGGGTAGCGCGGTGGCCCTGGTTTATAACTAGGTTAACTTATATATATATAAATTTTTTAAAACTTGCTTAGGTTTGCTTATTATTTTAAAGTTTAACTTAACCTTTTTAATAATTACAGGCGTTTTTTAAAGCATTTTAAATAATAAATATAATTTTTTTATTATTTATTTAAAACCTTTTAGGAGCATTATAAAAGTAATTTTCTAAATTTTTAAATTAAATTTTAAGCTTTGTTATATTTTTTTTTTTTAACTTTTTAACCTTTTTAAACTTAATCTTAGGCTTTTAAAAAGTCTTTTTTTTTTTATAATAAAGCTTATAATTCTTAATAGCCTTTTAGTACCTTTTTTATATATATTTAAAACTTTTAAACCCCTTAAAGCTAGCTTTACTAGCACTAGGTTTTAAAGGCAAAGTAGCTTTAAAATAATAACTTAAGTTATTTAAGCTTAACTTTAAACTAGAATTAAAAGAATTACTAAAATTAATTTTTTTTAGGGCTTATTAAAAGTATTAATAAGAAGATTAGCACGGGGATTAATAAAAAAATTAATATAAAAATTAATAGTTTAATACTATTTTAGCTCCGGGTTATAGGGGTAACTTCCCCTTATTTTTTAAAAAAATGTCCTAATTTTAACACGTGATATTAATTATATTAAGGTTAAAAAATAAATAGGCCAGGAGTTATAGTCCTAAGCCACTTTTTTTTTAAAATAGCTTTAGTTATAATAAATTTTAAATTAATAGGCTTTAATAATAATATAAAATAGCAGGGTAAAGAATATATTTTACCCTGTGCTTTACTAAGCTAGTAAACTAAATTATTTAAGTTAGGTTTTTTTTTTTAACTATTTTTAATAGTAATAAAATTTTTAAGTATAAATAAAAAAGGGGACACTTTTCTAGCTATTTAAGTTTAAGTTTTAAAAACCTTAACTAAAATGCTTGTAAACTACCTTTGCTTACCCTTTAAAAATCTAGTTTAAAATACTATTATTAAAAAAGTTTAAAAAGTAGTAGGTAAAAGCAATTTTAACTATAAAACTAATAAGTTTTAAAAATCTTTACTAATAATAAAAATATTAATAAAAAAATTTAATTAATAAAAATAAAGTATTTTAAACCCTGCTAAATAATACTAAAAAAGTTACTTAAAAATTTTAATAAAGGCTGGCTTTAAGGCTATTTTATAAACCTTTAAGCTATGCTTAAGCTATTCCTAACTAAAAAGTAAATATAAGTTTAAATACTTTACGCACGGGTTTTTACTCTAGCCTATACTTAGGGCCTACCCTAGCCTTGCTTAATTAATAGCTAAAACCCTAAATATTAATAACCTAGTTAAGTTATATAGCCTAATATAATAATAAGGTATGCCAAGCCTTGGCGGCCTAAGGCCAAAGCTTAGGCTACCTAAGGTGCTAACTTTGGACTAACAGTGGATTGGCTCTGGTGACGTCAAACGGAAAAACGTTGGCCCTGACAATTAAATACAGGAATTTTTAATTACTTATATAAAAAAAATACTAAAGGCTTATATTTATAATTTATACCTTATATTTAGTAAGATATATATTTTTAAATATTAAAACTTTATTACCTTTATTAAAAAATTAAAAAACTTTACTAATATGGTTAGGTTATAAAATCCTTTATTAAAAAAAATTTTATATATACTATTATTATTAAAAAGGTATTTTTATATTTTTATAATTTTTTTTAGATTTTCTAACGCGTTTTAAAAACCTTTTTTTAAATTATAATTATTAAATATAAATATTACACCTAGACACGCGCTAAAAACTTTACTTAATAAAAAACCTACCTTATAAAAAAGTGTACTAACTACCTTGCCTTAATTAAATTAATATTTTTAGGCCTTTTTTTTAATTAATTAATTTTTTTTTAATAGTAATCTTAAGTAAGAAGCTTATTAACTTATTAAAATAGCTATTTTTACTAACACGCGGCCTTTTTTTTTTTTTAATAATTTTTATTTTTAAAAACTTTTTTTTTTTTAATATAAAGGCTTTAAATTATTATAATATTACTAGCCTAATTTTAAACTAGTACTATACTTAAATTTTAAAGCTTATAATTATAAAGCTTTTAAAAACATGCTATTTTAATATTATTATTAATAAGATAACTATAGTTAATAAATAGTAAATAATAACTATATATTTTAATACTTATAAAAACTCCTTTTTTACTACCTTAAAAAACCGGGGGATATAGCTTTAAATATAGATTAGGTTTTTAACTAAATATATAATTATATTAAAAAGTATTTTACTAAAAATAAGGCTAGTATTAACTTTTTTTATATTAATTTTTTATTTTTTAATACCTATAATATTATAATAATTATATAGGATTATTTTATAATAAAGCTAGGTATAAAATATATTTTTTATATTTTTTATAATTTATATAGCCTTTAGCTAGTTATTAAAAATTTTTTTATTAAATTTTACCCCTTTATTAAAGCTACCTTTAATAAGGCCTTAAAAATTATATTACACTTTATTAAAGCGCCTAGGTAATTAAAAAAACTTCACGCCTTTTAAGTTATTAAGTATAAAAATACTAAAACCTTAATTACTTTAGTTATTACTTGCTAGGGATCTTAATATAATATACTTATTTTTATTTAGTAAACTTAAAAAGCTATAAAAAACTAGGCCTATAAGTTTATAACATAACTAGTAAAAAAAACTAATTTTAAAATAACTTTAATTTATATTAATCTAGTTTTTTAAAATAATTTAAATAACCTTATTTAACTGCTTAAGCTATTAAATCTAAAAATCACTATTTTTAAAGGCTAGTAATTAAATCTTATAATAATAAGCCTTTAAAATTACCTACTTAATAATAATAATACTAATAATAATATTAATACCTAGGTAACTAACTACTAGTTAAAGCTTTAAAAAAACCTTAAAAAAAATTAATAAAGCCCCCTTTTAGTACTAATTTAGTTTAGTATTTTAATACTAAATAACTTTTTTAAATAAATTAATAAATAATAATACTTTACTAGCTTTTTTATTATTTTTATTTACTTAATACTTATAAGCAGGTTTTGCTGGTAAATTAAAAATAAATAAAAAAAATTAATAAGTTATTAGTTAAGTATAGCGGCTAGGAAGGTTTAAATAGCTTTTTTTTATTTTAAAATTAGTAAGACTGCTTTTATAATAAAGTAATTTAAAAAAAGAAACTACTTTTATAGCCTTTTAATTAGTGGAATAAGTAGGCAAGTTTTTTTTACTATATAAATTTTATAAAAAAAGAAACTAACTTAAGCGCTTAAATAAAAATACCTTATTTTAAAACTTATTAATTTAGCCCTTTACCTTTATTATATAACTACTAATTTAATAATAATTAAAAGATTATTTTTTATAATAAAGCTATAATATACTAAACTTTATAACTAGTTAGGGATAAAGCAAGTTAAAAAGCTTACCTTTATTTAATAAAATACCTACTTTATTAATAAAATTTCTAGTGTTTTATAAGCCCTTATACTAAAAAAATTTAATAAAATAATATTTATTAAAAATTAAAAGTTAAAAAAAAGTTTTTTTTAGCTTAGTAACTTTTTAATTAACATAAATAAAAAAAATATTATAAAGCTAGCTTAAACACTTAGTAAATAAGTTTATAAGCTTATTAACTAGTTATTATTTCTTTAGCTATATAAATAATCTTATATTAATTAAGTTTAGGGGCTAATTTATAGGTAGTTTAGTAACTAGCAAGTAGGTAGTTTAAGGATATATATAAAAAAAAATAGCTATAATAATATTTATAATAATATTTTAAATAAAAACTTTTTATTAGTTAATAAAAGTAATATTATAAAGGTCTAAACTTACCTGCATTTATGTTTTTTAAAAAAAAGTTAATTTTATATATAAAATTAGAATTATTACTTTACTAGTAGTTTTTTGCTTAATAATTTTACTATAATACTAACCTAATTAAAAGGCGGTAAGTCACGTGATTTTATTTTTTTGTTAGGAATTATTCCTTACCAAAAAAATCCTTAAATTTCAACTTTCCGTAATTACCGTCAGCCATTTTGTCCATCCCTAACCTACATTAGTCCAACACGAGTGTAACGTTACTAACACGTGGGAAAGCACGAAGGTTTGAGATATGGCATATGCCCAGTTGCTGCAGGCTTGCAGCTCCAAATGCCGAATGCCGACCCTAGCCCCGGCCCTCCATGGAACATACATCCACGCGCCCAGGCCGCGCAGATTCCCGTACCGGGAATCAACTAGGCAGAGGAAAGAGAGGAAGGGGGTTAGCGAAGGGACTGGAACGCGGGGACGGTCGAGAACCGAGATTTCCAGATATCCAGACAGAGACCGGTCTAATTTCCTGCACTAGAGATTTTACGGTAGCTAGACTACAATTACATGGCTGAGCCTGGATGGAGGTGGCGTTCTCACAATCCCATCGGCCCATCGTGGACCGTGCGTGCGTGGCTGCTCTGAAACGAGCGCCTCATGGCAGAAGAAATACATGATTGGTGAATGGTAGTTACATTTGTTTCTGAGGGCTGAGGTCGTTCAAGGCATCCCTGCTCTTTTTTTCCCGACAGAGTCCCATGACGCCATGCCCAGGTGCGTGATTTACCTTAGGTAGGTATAGTAAATGGTAAGTAGGTAGATATCGGAGGACGGTGGGTGCCGCCAGAAGCTGAGCGTCGAGACTCAGCACGTGGCAAGGCGGGTTGTTTTGTCTCGTTTTTCGCCCTATGTATGTATGTATGATGGATGGATGGATGGATGCCGCCCAGTTTCGTTCTGGATCTGTTCCATTCCATCCTCCTCCCTTTCTTCCCAAAAGAAATGAAAATAAATTGGAATAATATGAAGACAGAGAGAAAGAAGAAATCTACCCGCTGAACCGGAACCGCGTGGCTTCCAGCCGCCCTAGACCTTCTCTCGGGGCCACATTCCGACGGCGGTAGGAGTTGGTAAAGTCTAGCGTGCTGTTAGCCAATGATACGAAGTGAACAAAGGCTGATGTTTGCTTACCTTGGAGGAGAGCGCGGATCTTTCGTGTCTCTCCCGACTGAACCTTGTCAGAAATTCCCTTGAGCAACCGTTCCGCTTCTCCCGCCTTCATCGTACCCGGGGGGAGCATCTGCAGAGTCGACTGCACCCAGCTACCTGCTTCTGGAGGCATTAATTCGAACATGGACATCATGAGACTTGAGGCGTCAGGGAAGCACTCTCCGGGGAAGGTGAACATCATCCCGGTGAGGATGCGCTGAACTAGGACTGGTCCTTGGGATGCGATCAGCTGTTTCACAGCTTCCTGGACCTCTGGTGGGTTGGAGTAAGTCTTTCCATCTGGCGCGGTAAAACTAGACACGGCTGGCTTGTCAAACGCAAAACTGAAGAGGTCGTGGTAGTAATGCAGGGTCGCCATAAGCGGGTCAATTTGCTGTAGGGTAAGGGAGCTGAGTGCAGCCGAGAAAATCGGCACTGCAAGTGACGAGCTGATGCACTCCTTAGGATAGAATCGGACGGCATCGGAAGAAAGGCGGAAGAAATCCTCAATTACTGCTTGTGTGTTAGATGCTGCAAGGCAAAAAATTGGTATAACAGGGTAGAACATACCATCGGGGAGGTTCTCTGGGGGCAGGTCGTTTAGAGTGCGTAGGAAAGCTGTCGCTTGTTGTTCGTAGAACTGGAATACCGCTCGACTCGTTGCGGGGTCAACATACTCTGCTCCCTCGGAGAACTCTCGCACCACGGCATCGGTGGCCCATAGGAAACATCCTTCACGAGAAACCTCGAATCCACTGGCGAGACTCTGGGCGAGCGTTGGCAGCAGGGGGCTCATGGCAGTTCTGTAGCTGATGATCATGTTTCTCCAGCAGCGACATACCCGCTCCAGGATAGGCGTTGAGTTTGTGAAATTCATGACGAGTGTGGTCGTGATGGGTAAAACCTCGCCACAGTACTTCACTGCCGGGTTTTCTTGGTCTGAGGCCACATACGGGTTGACTACTAGGATGAATATGGTAATCAACTGCAAGTGATCTGTTTCAAGTTAGCACGAGGCATCTGCAAACTGCAGGAATACTTACCAGCAACAGCGCGCTGGCCCTGTTCATCCTTGGCATTATTTGCAAGGTTCATGATGCGCGCCATGATAGGATCACAGAACATCTTCATGGTCTCGTAGATTTTCTCTAGCGGCTGCACGGCCACAACAGCCGCTACACCCTCTGTCACTTCCTCCTGACTGCTTGGCTTCAGTTTGTCAATGACAGACTCATAGAATGAATGCAGCTGTGCGATGTGTCCTCCGAGGAGTTTCTGGCAATCCGTTCCCAGGAACTTAAAAGCCAAGGCAGAAGCCTGAACGACCTCCACGGAACTGTGTTGGAAGCCAGAAATGACATAGTTGAGCTGTGCCTCAAGTGTCTCTGGGTGCTGCGCTGTCCATTCGGTGTAGCGTGCAAGCGCCATGATAGCCTGGAACCGGACCTTCTCTTGGTTCGGAATCTGAACTATCAGAGGAATGACCTGCGGCAAGACCGCGCTTTCTTCCGGATCGACCATGCGGCCCATCGCTCTCAAACTGAAAAGCGGTGCCTCGAGTTCTTGCCAGTTCGGGACGTGCTCGTCCGTCGACTGGGAGGCGTACTGAGAAATCCAGTGCTGAATGACCTGGTACGCTTTGGACAGACACTCTGCAACGCCTATAACAACACAGCAGTCTTTGAGGACATCCCCCATCGAGTGCCGGAACTGTCGGAACTTTTCTTCCTGCTCTCGGTCACCTCCGAATAGATCGGATTCTCCGTCCTCCGGGCGCGGGTACTCGAGATGTTTGATCATGATATCCACCAATTTTGAGAAGATGTCGCTGTAGACGGCCCGCGACTCGGCATATCGTTCCAACGTGACGTATTGTTTCAGCTCGTACCAGAAGACGAACGTGATGGAAACGACATCGCGCTCCCAATCTCGCGCACAACACTCCAGCACCGCTTCCACAAGCTCGCGGAACTGCGCAGGCATACGCGCCATCAGGACCACCCATGCTTCACCCGCTTCGGCAAATAACCTCGTGATGCCCCGGAACGCTTCCGTATCTTCCGCTTCGGCGAACTCGGCGATCTTAGGGCGAAGTGACATAACGCGTGGGAACAAGGCCTGAATGAGAGGTAGGGAATCATCCACTTCGCGGGTGTCTCGGTACAGAGTGCACATGCTATCGACAGCGGCGTCAAACGATGCGTCGTCATCCAGAGCTTTCACAATGACGTCCATCAAAGGCGATTCCACGATCTTCGCGGCGGGAATCTCGCGCATCCAGGATGTTATACAATCGAGAAGACGGGGGTTCGTAGAAGCGGCGGCTAAATGCAGGCTGTTAGCATGACGTGCGCAGCAAGCCAGGAAGGAGACGGACGGGAAGATTGAGCGTATTGAATCAGGAGATGCATGACTTGCTCAGCATTGTCCTCCAGCAGTTCTTTGGTCCTCAGTGTGAGTTCATCTTCCTAAGGCGAATGTATTAGATCCTGAACTATGGCCGCGCAGAAAGTCGTCGCCGTTCGATGGTGAATCATGGAATGCTGAGTTTGCCGAACATACAGATAGATTGATTTTGCGCCCCTCCGTCACTTCTTCCGGGAGGATCCTGAGAAACTCCAGCACGCAGTCGCCGGCGCTGCTTCCGAGTGAAGAGCCAACAGTAACCAAGACGTCCTTCCACTCGATCATCTGGATCGCAAGGCTGGCTAGACAGACGCAAAGCTGTGTTTGGATCGGTCGGGGCCCCGAACCGAAAGCTACCAGGAGATTAAGCACTGAATCCCTCAAAGCGACTACTGACTCCGCAGGCAATTGATCGAGATCGAACATAATCTGATACAGTCAGTATATCGGTATGACTCCACGGGTTCCGCTACTGCTTCACCTTTCCCTTCAACGTCGTCGCGGCGAACAGCTTGGCCTCTACCGGGACATCTGGTGACTGTAACATCTCATGGGTGATAGTCCATGCTTCGACCTAGGTAGTAAAGCCAGCCCATCAGTATAAACTCTTCGTAGACACGCGGTAGTCTGCCGTGGGGACCGGTGAGGGGCTAGGGGCGAACGAACGGATTTCTGAAATTTCTCAAGGAACTCATGGGCGTGAGCTTTCTCTGAGCGCGGGACATTGCCTTGCATCGTAGCGACCGCTGCTAGGACGGGGCCAAAGGCCTGTCCGGCGGCGTCTGCTTTGCTGGCCATCGTCGAAGATGTGTAGATGGTTTGATGTGGGTGTACTCCGTGGGAGTGGGAAAGAGGGGTCAACTAGGCCGGGCGGCTCAACACCAGCGGGTTTCAGTCATGAATCATTAAAAGAACAGAAAGAAAATAAGAAGCCAGTTATTTGGACTGTGAAAGGCCGCGGAGGTGCGCTGACTGGACGTCAAACAGTGGTCAATAGGTGGAAGTGGGATGGTGACTGATGATCCGCTCCCAAGGAAAAGTTGGTGAGCCGCAACAATCAATGGCGCCGAACTGCCTGGAGAACCCGCGGCGAGCTTCAGACCATCTTTTTACCTGCCCTTAACACCCACAAGCGCATTCAACCACGTTATTTCGTCACAGCAGTCTGATCATTGAGACTTGTTCCGATATTATAGTTTATATACTCTCGCGAATTAATAGCCATCATGACCGGCAGAGGAGGCGGAGCCGCTCGCAAGACACTGCTTGCGCCGATTCACTTCATCTTCAAACTCCTTCAGCAACGTTCAACAGTCTCTATCTGGCTATATGAGCAGCTCGCATTCCGAATCGAGGGAAAGATCAGAGTAAGAAGTTCTCGTTGCGCATGAGACGCCATTCGCTGACTGTATGGCTAGGGGTTCGATGAATTCATGAACCTGGTCGTCGACGACGCCGTGGAGGTTAAGCTGGCCACAAAAAGCGAGGAGGAGAAGAGGCGGCCATTGGGTATGGACCGATTCCTTACTGCTACATTTCTGGTGATGCTGATATGTGTGTTAAATATAGGTCAAATACTGCTCAAGGGTGACAATGTCTCCCTCATCCAAGCTGTCCAGTGATCGCGAATCGCACCTTATCTACAATCTGAGTCCTCATTAAAAATCTACGAAGCTCTCGATTTTCCCGCTCTACGAACATCTTAATAACAGCTATCTACGCTGTACCGCTGGAGGAAACGGATGGAATAGACAAATCTGCGGACGGAACTGTTTTGGGGATTCGATTACTGCTGGCGCACGAGACACCGGTCATCACCAACTATCACGACATCTACAAGCCAGTCATGGTTGGTAACGGGAACTTCTTCGGGTGGGGAAAGCGTTTGCTCCTTGAGAGAGGCGGCGACTGTGATATAGTCAGGAAATTCATTGCTCTCCTACATCCGATATAGGGTTGCGGCTCACCGAGTAAGGGCATGCTTCGCGTGCTTAATCCCATTTCAGCTTCCCATCTCAAGTATCTCGTCAAGAAGCTGTCATAGTATCCTTTTCCATGACCCAGTCTTCTGAAACCGGTATCAAAAGCCATTCCTGGCATTACGATCAGGTCTAGCCCAGACGACCCAGCCGTAGTATCCTTAGCTAGTGCCTGGTACAGGCCAGTTCCGCCAAAGCAGTTCTTCTTGCTTTGAGCTTGTGCCTTCGTGAGCGACGGGATGCCCCATTTGTCAGGCTCCAGAGACATGAACTCCTCCATTGAGTCCAACGCGAGCATATCCATTACTGACGTCTTTTGCTGCGTCGTCGTGGTCTCAATGCTATGGATGTATGGCACAAAGACTTGCTTATTGTTCTTCAAGGCGTCTTCCACTATCGCTGTAGTTGATAGCTCACCTGACGGCATTGACAGGTACACGCCTATTCTCTCGGCCTTCTGGTACTCTGGTAGAGAGAACAGCCTGTTTGCAACGGTTCGAGCTGTAGATGGTCAGTTGAAGTTGCGCCCACAGAAGAATGGCGGGCCAGACATTGAGTGACGATAGAGTCAGCGGGAATTCTCTGTAGGACATCCCGCATTCTTTTGCGAAGCTCCTTTTTTGCTGCTTGTACTCCCGCCATGAGTAATATTTCGACCTTTGCCCAAGGTCTGGGGTTTCAGTCGATATGTGTATATTGGACTAGATTCAATGTGGTTCATGGTAGAGTATGATGTCGACTCATCGCCGAAGCTAACAGCTCGGTCACTGGGGGCTTGGCAGCATTCATCATTGTTTTGGTTACATGGTTGGATCGGCAGGCCAGTCGAGCTCCCTTGGAATGGCTAGGCACTATGGATTGCGCCCTTGATCGAGATGAGAGAATCCTCTCAGCTTCGTGATCCTCGTCTTGTCCGCTCACCTCTTCACAGTTTCACGTAGCAACAATGCTTGCGATATACTTCGTTGCTAGCCTTCTGGCGAGCCTTGCTAGTGCCCGCAATGCCGCCGATCTAGTAGGGACCTGGACCACCAAGTCTCGCCAGGTCTTTACAGGGCCTGTATGTTTTGAGTTGATTTCTCTACTATCGGACATGAGCGCTGATGGCTGCCGCAGGGGTTCTACGACCCAATCTTGGATGAACTCATCGAACCGAAGCTTACGGGAGTCTCCTTCTCTTTCACATCAGACGGATACTTCGAAGAAGCTTTCTACCGAGCTGTTTCCAACCGTTAGTATATCTGGCGGATTGTGGCGATTGCACTTTAATGACCGTGTCAATGCAGCTCAAGATCCGTCATGCCCCAAGGGTATCATGCAGTGGCAGCACGGTACATACACCGTTGGCAGTGGTGGCTCTTTACACCTGAAGCCGTTTCCGATGGACGGTCGTCAGCTCGTATCAGATCCGTGTTCGTCCGCGAAAGGGTTATACTCCAGATACAACCAAACAGAAGAGTACAACGTACGTTGAAACCCGACATGGCTAAGAGGTCACGCTAACCACGCCAGTCTTTCACTGTCGGGATTGACCCATACTATGATAGTATGCGCCTTGACCTGTACTCGTTCGATGGGTCGCCTATGATTCCGATGTACCTTGCGTATAAACCACCGGAGATGCTGCCCGCCGAACCTTTGGAGTCGATAAGGTCTAAAAGAGCGAAGCGTCACATTGACGTTGAAGCGACCGGGCCTTTCGACTTGACGACACTCGTTAGCAAGGATAGTCTCGTGGATCCTGACCGTTGGCTGTGGATGGGTGTCGTCATGAGCGCAATGGGCGGCGTTGCGCTGTTCTTCTCCTAGCGTCAACGCAATGAATCAAGATATTTTGTTTTGACGTGATAGCGTTTTTGTCAATCGTAGACTAGACGAGCTCCATCCTGCTGTATAGGATTCCGGCATCATATCAAGGCCTAGCTGTATCGCACTGTCAGTCGTCGACAGTAGAGCTTGGTGCTGCCGCAGGAGCAAATTGAATCAGATCGTAACCAGAGATTTCCGTGGATCATATAATGGTACAAGGTTAATATACAAATGCTTTCGTCCCATGAAGCAGTCAATCAAGCAGAAGACACAATCTCCTTCGTGATCTTCGCAACCTCAGATCGTTCCGCAGGCTTGCCGTCCAAGGGACCCTGAGGCGCAAAAAGAGACTTGAGGACAATACCAATCTCAACCTTCGCGCCAGCCGCCTTCATCTTCGAGACCTGCTCTGACACAATCTCCTTGATCTCATCGACACCCATTGTCTGCACTTGGCTTCCGTATTCCTCAAGGATCGTCTGGGCCTTCTCCTCCTTCTCCTTGAGATCCGGTCGGTCGGCCTCCGCGAATTGCTGGGCCGAGTCTTTGGAGGCGGCAGCGCGCTTTCGGATCAGGGCTAGAAGCTGCAGGTCTGTTTGAATGGGGGAGGAGGTCTTTTGTGAGTTGTTGGTTTCGGAAATCAGAGCTCGAATGACATTCAAGCTGGCAGTGGAAGTTGATCAGTATAAGCCTTGTAGAAACATTGATCGCATCGACATGACGGTGACAGAACTTACCGATCAGTATCTTTTGCGCGCATAGCAGTCTTGAGGTCAGTCTTCAAGGTAGCCAGCAATGGTGGCAGAGATGGGCTCGCTGTCGAGTTCCATCGCGCTTGGGAGAGGCCCAGGCGGGTTGTTTGTCGCAGAACTCTGAGCATTGCTATCTGTATGATGCCAAAAGTGGAATGACAGCGTAATTGAAACACAGTCTGATTATGTAGAAGCTTGTTTCGACTGTGTTTATGAGGCAGAATCGGCGAGTAGCGGAGGTCCAGCAAAAGGCGGAGAGAAGCTAAATCGGGCCCGTGCGCAATTTTGTTCTTCGCTCTTATTATGAAGCCGCTTGATCATTGTTTCTCCAGAGCTGGCTGTCTCGACTTCAACGACAAAACACCAGCTGTGGGCCATCACTTCTCGTTGATTCGTGTTTTTCTTCCTCCCATTCTTGCCTTCCCTCATCGGCCTTCCTCCTCTCGAGACAGCTTCACTTCCCCGGCCCTTGCGCTGAACGGATCTCTTCGACGCCGGGGAGCGCGATCACTCGGACGGCTTTGATGCACCATGTCGTACCCTCAACTTCCGCCCCTGACGCCTCTGAAGCCTCTTCCTGGCGCTTTCGAGACGCCGGCGCCCGACAATGCGCTGTACCCACCGCGAACCACATCATCGGCCCAACAGAGAGCGCAACGATCAAGCCCGGGTGGCCCGCCTGTACTGCCCAGGTTTCCCCCGTCAATAAAACCAGCACCCCAGGATTTGAACACAGAAGAACGTGCGGCGCGGACGGTCAATGACACACTCACACAGGAGGCGCGGTACCCCGACCTCGATAGCTATTTATCTCGTAAGTGGACGCGACTGGACATTTTCTACAATCCAAACTGATGAGTCGACTACAGAGGGCTTTTCATCCGATTATGACATCCCCGAGTCATCAACATGGGCGCCTTTTCAGAAAGTCAAGATGTACAGCATCCCCGACCAGATCTTCGACCAGTATAACCTAGCACAGGTCTCTACCAGCATGGGACTGTTGGCGGAGCTGAACCACGCGTGGGTTGCCATAGATAACGCATTGTACCTCTGGGATTATACGCGCACGAATCCGCAACTGGTAGGATTCGAGGACCAACCGAACAGCATTAACACGGTCAAATTGGTCAAACCGCGTGCCGGAGTGTTCCTACCTAGCGTTACCCATTTGCTCGTATTAGCAACAACTGCAGAGATTATTCTGCTGGGAATGAAGTGTGAACCGACGCCTGCAGGTGGCAAACAGGTGACGCTGTATCAGACGGGAATGTCTACATCTATCCGCGGATTAGACATTCACATCATCGCTTCGTCGGACGTGACGGGCCGCATCTTCTTTGCAGGGTCTTCCGACAACGACGTATATGAGCTTACATATCAACAAGAGGAGAAATGGTTCCAGGGTCGGTGTTCCAAGATCAACCACACAAGGTCTCGCATCTCACAATTAGCGCCGTCTCTAAAGAACTTCGCGCTAAGGGCACCGGAGCAAATTGTGCAAATGGAGATGGATGATTCCAGACGGCTGCTATATACATTGTCTTCGGATTCTACCATTAGAGTATTCCACTTGAGGCCAGACGGATCAGTTGTTCTCGCCATCACGAAACCAGCGCTCGATATCTACGCCAATATTGGTCACATTATCGCCTCGAACGAAGCGCTGAACTCAAAAGTGAAGATTGTTTCAATCAGTCCCATCTCGGCCGCTGAAGCGTCAAGATACCATTTGATGGCTACCACCGCCACTGGTTACCGCATCTACCTGAGCGCCACCGGTTCGTACAGCTGGTCCCCTGCTCCGAACGGCGCCAATGCTCCAACGAGCATGCAAGCCCATTATGTCAAGACGCCTCCTTTTGACAACCCTGCCCCTGTGTATCAAGGCCAGAACCGTTACCAACCCTCGCTGGCAGCCACCAGGGTTCCAATTTATACCCTCTCTCCCACTACTACCTCAGCACGCTACCCTCCGGGTTACTTCTTCTGCTTCACGTGCCAGGACAGCACACAGAAATCAGATACGTTATTTATCTCGGCTCCGGACTCAGGGCGCGTTGCTCGGTCTCAAGAGAACGTTCTCCCAGGCAAAGCGGCAGAAACCGGTATATGGCTATCGTTGGGCAGTAGAATGGAGGACCTCGGAATGAGCTCACCAACAACGCCAGCTTCGACAACCCCTAGTGGCTTTGGTAACGAACTCGCCGTTCAATTTGAGAACCCATCCGCGGAGATTGCGATCCTGACGAACACGGGCATTCACGTGTTTCGAAGGCGGCGTCTCGTTGACATTTTTGCTGCTTTGGTGCGTAACGGAGGCAGTGGGGGTGAGGAAGGTCTTGAGGGCGAAATCAAAAACTTCATTCGCACTTACGGACGCGGCGAGACCCTTGCCACTGCCCTCGCAGTAGCCTGTGGACAGGGTGTGGAGGTTTCTACAGACTCTCGGTTATCAAAGATCAATGACCCCGACGTGCTTGAGTTTGCCCGTAAAGTTTTCGTCGAATATGGCGGCCGACCAACGCTGAATGAGAATGCTGTCGCTGATAATTCAACTCCCGCCATTGACACAGTCGTCCCGTCACCCCGACACACGGGAATCGCTCTCTATGTATCACGAATACTACGGTCGGTATGGAAGAAGGAAATAGCGACAACTGGCGGCGCGCCCGGCGCTGCGCAAACAATCTCATCCTCTTTCCCACCAGCTAAACTGCAGGCCGTCCAACACGATCTGTCTGCTTTACAGGAGTTCTTTAAAACAAACAAGAGCTTCATTGAAGGACTGAGCGGCCCCGAAGCACTTGCGCGGGTGTCCACAAAGCAGGAAGAACTTGAGCTCCAGGCAGAGCATCGTGCACTTCACTCGCTTGTGCAGCTGGTATCTCGCACTATTGAAGGTATCTCGTTCGTGACAGTTTTGTTCGATGAGAAGGTCGAAGAGATCGTCGCATTATTACCCGAGGAGTCCAAACAGAAATTCCTCAAACTAACATACGAGGAACTTTTCAGCACTACCAAGGGCCACGATATCGCAAAGGAACTGGTGAAGGGAATTGTTAACAGAAACATCGCAAAGGGAGCCAACGTCGAGACGGTAGCGGATGCCCTACGCCGGCGATGTGGCAGCTTCTGCAGCGCCGAAGACGTCGTAATCTTCAAGGCGCAGGAACTTCTCAAACGTGCTACCGAAGCCGGCGGCAACTCAGAACTGGGCCGCAACCTGTTAAACGAGAGTCTACAGCTCTTCCAGAAAGTGTCAGAAAATCTGCCCATGGACTATTTAGAGCCCGCAGTAGAAAGTTACATATCGAACCAATTCTTTGGTGGTGCTATTCAACTTGCTTTGAATGTCGCTGGCCGATCAGACAAGGCAAATATGGGACAGGCATGGATGATGGACGGCCAACCGTCACCGGTAAGATGACCTCATTACCTTGCCCTTTCCAGTGTTAACAGGCAACTGTCTAGGATCCTCGGAAAGACTACTACCTGTTCCGGAAACAATGCTACGAGCTGGTCTTCAAAGTTGTTCTGGCGGTCGACAAGCTTGCTGCCCAGGATCCTGGCGTTGTTGACGGACAGCTAACACCGATCGCCAAACGCAAGAATGATGCTTACTCCATGATCGCCGCATCAGAAGATCAAGTATTTTTGACGTGCTTATATGACTGGTACCTGGAGCAGGGGTGGAGCGATCGGCTACTGCGATCTGAGTCTAAATTCGTCGTTGAGTACCTCAAGCGAAAATCAACAGATGACATTTCGCACGCGGACCTTTTATGGCGGTATTACACCCAATCCGAGCGCTTCTTTGAGGCCGCGCAGGTCCAATTAGAGCTCGCCCAAAGTTCTTTCATCCTCCCTCTCAGCCGGAGAATTGAGTACCTCGGCCAAGCACGGGCCAACGCATCAACCTTTACACAAGACGTGGGCCGACAAGCCCGACAGCGTCTACTGCAACAAGTCTCCAACCTCATCGACCTCGCAAACGTCCAAGATGATCTTCTACAGCACCTAAAGGACGACGCACGGATACAGCCCGAGGCCAAAGCCAAGGCTCTGGAGGAAGTTGACGGCCCGATCATGGAGGTCTCTACCGTATGTAGCCCTATGCATTTACCCCCACGCCGCCAAACCCAAATCCCCGAAGGCATCCCACGCTCGAAATCGTGACTAACAACCTTATCCAGATATTCAACCAATACGCCGACCCCGCCAGCTACTACGACATTTGCCTGCAAATCTTCCACATAGCCGACTACCGCAACCCCGCCGACGTCCGCGCCACATGGCAACACCTCCTGCAGACCCTCCACGACGACACCGTCGCCCTCGGCTCCTCCGGCCCCCTCCCCTACGAAGCCGTGATCGACAAGCTCCGCTCCCTAGGCGCGCGCCTGCGCATGTCCGACGCCGTCTTCCCAATCCCCATCCTCCTCCCCATGCTCGAGCGCTACGCCCTCGAACACCAGCGCAACGTCGGCCCCGCCACCTGGGTTATCGACACCTTCTTCGACCTCGGCGTCGCCCATGAAACAATATACACGGTCCTCGAATCAATGTACTACACCGACGAAGCCCCCTTCCACGGCAGCAACCGCAAGGTCATTGCGCGCGACCTTCTTTACACCATCGAGCATTGGTTCCATGATACCGTGCGTCTGGGTGGTGTGGTCTTCGGCAGCGACGTTATTGCCGACCGCGTGGAGGAGATGCTTACACTGCTTATGCAGGGCGGGATTAGTGCGGATCAGATGGCGGTGGCGCATGAGTTGCGCGCGCGGATCCAGAATATTTTGCGATGAGGTTGTTGAGCTGCGTTGGGACACTTAGGTTAGGTTATAGAGTAGCTACGTTACGTATTTAAAGGTTATTTGTTCTTTCTCTTTTCCTCCGATCTTCTAGTTCTTTTTTATCGTGTTCTTTTGCTGTTTTGGCTCGGGTGTAATCATTGTGCATATGCATTTCAATCTCTTCGTATACGGAGTACTCGTTCTTGAAATGCGAGGGTGTTATTCATCTGGGAAGGTATGTCGAGGGTTTTAATTCTTCTGTCCTTTACCAATTCTAGAGTCGCTGTTCTTTCTGCGCGCAGGCATCTCCCAGCGGGTTTAGCCACACCGTAGGCTTAGGATGCAGCACCGGGGACTCGGTGATGTAGCCCATAGTCTAATGGTCTCTACCGACAATGATAATGAACGAGCCCAGGGTAAAGCAGACAATGCAGCGATGGAAAGAGACACAATGTTCATGAAATCATCTCTATGTTCATTAAGACCGTTACTACAAAGTACCGGTAAAAAAAAGCCCCGAACAATCCAAGCGAAGCAGTTTTGAGCAGACGACTGTATGGAAAAACAAGACCAAGCAGCCACGAGATAATCAAAGCAAGGCAGTCTATAGGGTTGGCGCATAGGCGTGGACAGGGGCATCACACAAAGATCGAGCGTTCGGCTGTAGTGGAGGGAAACCGAAAAGGAGATACATGCCCAAGGGGGAAGAGAAAGCGAAGCGAAGCTGCAAAAGGCATGTCTAGAACCAACGAAAAGCAAACAAAAGTTGAAGTCGCCCAGGAACGATAACAATAAACAAATGACAAATAAATTTAGAGTGCATCAAAACCGTCTATCAAAAATCGGACCGAGGTATCAGCGAAAAGCGAAAACGAGATAAGAAGAATGCTGCAGATGGAACAAAGAAATGGCGATTGGCACATGCGGGGCCAGCGGCATGCATGCGAGCGAGCTAAGCAATTTGACCGTGGGCGCGCAAATTAATATCGATAGATGATGGGTTGACGTCAAAGTATTATTTTCCCGGGAGCGAAAAACTGGGAAGATTCCGTAAAGGAGTCGGCAGCAGTGCGAAATTAGAGAAATCACGAAGCTGCTGGTTGCTCATTCGAATTGGTCGTAAACGGGGATCGGCTTTTCGCCCAGCGCACACAAGCGGAAGATATGGCGGAGTTTGGCACCGTAATCATCGTCGATATAGTCGACGATGGCTGAATCTGGAGGGGTGAAGGATTTAGTTAGTTTGCCAGTTCCACCGCGTTTGAGGCTAATGCATGGCAGAAGGGTAAATCGAAATTACTTACGGATGGTGCTTCTGTTGTCGAATATGACAATGGTCTTGGGCTGCCATCGTACTCTAGCTTGGAAGTCGTGCCCGGATACGATATGCTGCATGAGAAAATCGAGTAACCAGCGCTGCTCGGGCTCTTTGAGACCCGGGATCTTGGTGATGAATTCCCCGTTGAACCATAGACACTTTTCTCCAGTCACAGGATGAATGCGCACCAGCGGGTGAACGGTATCGACGGCGTCTTTACGCACCAAGCTACCAGTAAGACGGGCGTGGTTGATCATCTTCGTAGAGGAGTGGACTGCGCGTAAAGTGTCGAGCCATGAGCAAAGGGTGGCAGATAGGCGCCTGTTCTCCAGTGTTAGCTCTGTATGTACGGTACTTTTGTCTAACGTTTGTCCAAAACTCTATAGGTGGACTCACTTATAGGCCAGATCGGTCGCGGCAAAAACAGTATCGCCTCCAACGTCAGGGCCTTCTAGAAGACCCAACATGACATAACCGGGCGGCTGGATCTCATAGCTCACATCCTGATGCCAGAGAGTGGTGGTTGTGCGCTGTTCCAAAAAGCGAGATATTTCCTCGCGGTTTCCATCGCGGTGGATGATATGGAAACCTGGGTAACCGCGCACAGTGCCGGATACGGGCTGATAGTTTGGCTTGCCAAAGTGGCTCATGAATGCCGCTTGTGCGGCGGGGCCGGCATCAATCAGATCTTGATTGGGGAAAGCGACAACCTTGCGCTCCGAGACAAGAAGCGCAAGTTCATCCTTAGCGGCTGCGGAAAGTTGGCTCAGTTGCACACCTTCGAGAATGCTGCCAATTCGGGGCTGAATGTCCGTAACTTTGACGTTCGGAGTCAAGAGGCTGGGCTTGGATTTGTCCTTGACTCGCAGCGCAGGATCCTCGTAATCGAAATGGGGAAGAGGATCGAACCAAAGCTTGTCCCATGTCGGAAGATATTCGGGATACCTCGTCCGCAGGTGGTTCTCCTTTGTGACGTCCACGTATGGGATATTGATGTCGTAGCTTATTGGTTCCTGCTCTTTAGAAGCAGTTACCGGCTGCGCCTTCTTGGGCCTCAGAACAGGGGCGGAGGAAGGCATTGCGAAGATTTATGCCGTTGTAGGAGTTGTTGAAGATCTTTTGCGCTCTCGCTATGTGAAAGGGACAAGAAAGAGAAGGTGCAATGGAGAGGTTGCTTCCTTGGGTGATACGAGAAGTATAAACTGATACGCAACGGGATAGGGGAACGGTCAAGAATTTAAAAGGCCCTGGTCAACTTTGAGGATCGGAGAGAATAGATCAAGCTGATGGGTTCCAAAAAATAGGAGGAAGAGCATCAATAAATATTAATTCTTGCGACACAAACTCGTCATTGTCGTCGGGATAAAAGCAGCTCCTTCTTAAGGAGGAAACATGGCCAAGTGGATGATGGTCTGATAATAGTTGCAGCACCATCACTGCATCCACCGGGAAGTTTCGCTTAGACTACTGTCTCCTTCATATCCGGGCCGGTCAGCGTGCGATGGGGGCGTGCAGATGAGCTGTGTTCCGCGATACCATGGCGAGCAGGGGTGCCATCGGTGGCCGGAAGGACAACATACAGCACTGGAATGGAAGTCGTAAAGGAGGGGCGGGTGAGGGGCAGCGGCAGGCCAATGGGCCACTCAAGGGAGAGAAAGGGACTCGAAAGAAGTCGAAAATCTGCAAAAAATGAATGGGACGGAAAGACGAATGGAGGAAGCTGGATGAAAGGAGCTGGAAGCACCATACGGAGTTGAGTCCGCGATTGTCACAGGAAGCCAGGAGAGAGGCGGTCAAACGAAAGCGCTTCGACGGCTCATCGTCGGCACATATCTTCTGCAATCCACGAACGAACAGTTGTCCCAAACTAGATACCTCATGGATGCGATCATCGGGTTGATTGGATCTTGGGTTGACGATGCACGACTAAGCACCGTCGTAACCGTCCACTCTCTGCTCCCGGCCTGTTCCGGGGGACTGGCTCTCCAGCGTTCATTCTATCAGTGCCGGGAACAGTTTCACCGCTCAACCCTGATGCAATTCGAGCGACCGATAAGAAGCCGAGAACCGCAGAAGGATGAATAAGTGGGACCGTAGAGCTAGCATGCATGATGGCCCAATATCATCGAGCTTTTGAGCCTGTTTCTTGCACCAGAGCGCGCAGATTCTGGATCGTTGAACATGCCCTTTGCAGCAGCTAGTCTAGCTGCCCGAGATTTGAGGAAGCAGCTGTACCTAGCTTGCGGTAGCTTTGCTATCTTGCATTAGTCCTTGCATGGCTTGATGGATGATGGTAAAATCCCGAGCAAGGCGTGCCCCTGCTTTGTGTCATAGTGGCCTCAGTTGGCGATAAGGCATGTTCCACATCTGTAGCACAATCAGTACAGCATTTCTTTTGTATTACATGACTGGTTCAATGCCGCTGGGGCACTGCATCGAATGTTCCGGGGCTTCGGTTGGTGGACTGAGAATATTTCCTTTTTCCTGATTGATAAGGCGAATGTAGGTGGTATTCCGGAGCTATCCCGTGCCACGTTAGTACCATAGTGGGGTGCAAATCAATATCGTATCTGGCCGTTCTGGTAGTACTTCATTATGGGTTGGGCGACGTCGGAGATCATCCTTTCTGATTCGGATAGTTCAATATTTTCACCGAAGTTGTGGGAGGAGGGTACCCCGGGGAAAACAGTCAGTATCTACTCTGTAGCTTCCCCCGAAACCCAAAAGATGCTTCGATGGAACGACGCCTTTCATGTCCTGATAGGCCAGCCTTGCATTATGACGAGGCGAAATCTAGGTTGCACACGGGTTTCTTAAGCCGGCCACTACCAGTGGTTCCTCAGAGGGGCGTATCCTTGTAATGGTACGCTTGTATACTGGAGATCGTTCGTTTGGTTCATCGAAAGGGTGCAGAAGAAGGTGATGCGCTTGTTTCAAGCCACGCATCCTGTGAGTATGCGACCTTCGTGACTCCATCTCATTCGGGGTTTCAGTGCAATGTCCGCGGTTTATCTTGGCCCTTGGGGTCCCCACCCCGGAGATTATTCCAGGCGGTGGAGAGTCAGAAAAATATACATCGAAATCGGTCCCAGGAGACCGGCTAAGCTGCATAAGGTCTTCTCCCTATACCTCTCTGAATACCTCTCGTGGAATCAGAACGAAAAGTGCAAGGTTTGTTATGGTCAAAGCATTATTCTACTGCAAAGAGGCGAGTTTGACCTGCATGCTAATGTCAGATGGCGAGCATGATGGTTTCACGGGCCAAGTGCAGATGATATCTCAATTGAGGTTGCAGACAGCCATGCATCTAGCATTGCCTAAAAGCCCCATCGGTTGATGATATCAATTTGTACTACGTCGGAGTGGTGTCTAACTGGCAGTCAAAGACGATCTCGGCTGCTCCTCGAACCGGGACGGGAACTTGGTTGATCGAGTTGCTGCAGTGGAAACATCAAAGGATCAGGGATCAGGATCCTGGTTGAAGGGAGTTCAGGACTGACGGAGTGATGCCAGACGAGCAGGAGATGGCAATCTTGGGACATGGTCATTCGTAGACGGCTTTAGCCTTTGTGTGTCTACTCCAGATCTCGCATCGGGGTCCCGGAAAAACGTTCTTCGAAGGTGCTCCGGAGTCCGTACCTTTTGGGTCCCGGGGAGGGTCCACATGGATTCTATGCTATGTTCGAGAACAAGCGCATCATTGGATGAAATGTGTACAGCTCTGGCACTAAGCATAAGGTTCCCGTGGCTTGCCCCAGGCCCCCAACGATCCAAGAGCGGGTCTAGTCCTAATCTCGAAGGCGAATTGCTAGTCAATAGACCGGCAACTTCAAAGATTCCAACGAGACAGTTGGATCGGGGAGACTAACTGTACCCTTTATGCAGCCCATGCAGTAGTCCGGCTGTCCGGTTGATTTCGAGAAGACACTGGAGAACATCCTTCACCTGGGACTGCTGGAAGTACCCAGTCTACTGATCCTTGCAGTAAATTGACGGTATCACTGAGTCAGGCCAATTACCGGGAGAATATGCAACAACAGGACGTACTTTCGAACAGGCCCAGTCGAAAATTGGTTGTCTTGAGTACCTTCGGCCTTGTCGTCATGCTGGGCTCCAACGGGCCATGATCACAAGCCGAAACGAACAAGGATTCGGCATATGAGGGGAAGTGGTCAGAGTTGCGGTGAGACGCTTTCTTTGACGATAGATCCCATTCCCAACCCGATGCGAACTTGCGAAGTCATGGACGATCACTCTCTCTCGAAGTTTGCATTAGGTCATTGATTTCGCTCCTCGAACGCCGAGGTAAGGGTAGCCGGTAGCCCTGTGAAAGAAATGCAATGTTAAATTATACTACAAGGCCAAAGAGGAACGAAAAAGCAAAGTGAAGGCTTCCAGCATTTAGGCTGGACGCTAAACTTTACTTACCGCAGATTGCGTACATTCGCACGATCCACGCAGCAAATAAGCTATGTTTAGGGACCTCGAGACGCGTGAGTTGAAAAAGCAATTATGCCCATGGCCCAAGTTGTGCCTTATCTGTGCCGGCCAGGCCGACCTTCCACTGGCTTGGTTCTGGTGAACGGCGGGCCCTTGGACGTTCTCGAACCTGGTCTCGGGCTTGGTGTTGCAAGGAACTTTCAAGCCGTGCTTTTCCCTCAAATCGTACCAACCGGTAGTCACATGACTACGCGCCTTCCTCCTGAGCGCGTTTGGGCTTCACCAGAGCGTCTCTCCAAGTTGAGAACCTGATTTTCCACTTATCATCTCCAAATCTTGCATATCGTTTCTTTCTTTGTTTCGGATCAAGGCCCGCCTGTCAAACAACCATGTCTTCTCTTTGGAGTCGTAAGCGCGATTTAATCTACTTCGCGTTCTTTGCAATCCACATTCCTATCATCTTCTGTGAGTTGTTCAACCAGCCCCCGCCATGCTTCCCGGCCTCCCCGCACACAGACCATCCAACTGCCGAACACGGCACGCTATGGCTAATTGTCTAAGCTTGTGGCCATTCTTTGCGATGCAGCTACGCTGCAGACCTCACCGATGTCGGATAGTCCAGGTACGGATTCACTAACGCCGGGTGGTATGACATTCTTTGATAGTGGTTGACGCCGTCCCCGTCCTCCCCGGTCTGCTTGACAACCCGGTCTCCCGCCAACTTCGTGATTTCTACATCGCTACATACCGGGATAAGTTCTTCGAGGGTCCGGTTCCAGCATGGTTTACCTCCTACACGTGGATGGAGATACTCTACCATGTTCCATTGAGCATCTGGGCTCTCGGCGCCCTGTTGAGAAGTATGCCGACCCACCCCAGTCCCTCCTCTGCACAGGAAGCTATTGAAGGCTTGAGAGCTAGCCCTAGATTCGCATCCCGCCGTTTCAGCCTCGAATTCCGCGTCAGATGTCTTGACAAGTTGACTCTTGTGCTCGGTGGATAACTAACTCGATACTGCAGATGATCCCTTAGTCCCTGCCCATCTGCTCATTTTCGGCTTTCAGTCATTCATCACCTCCTGGACCTGTCTTATCGAGGTTTGGTCGTGGGAGGATCGCACCGTGGCCGAAAAGCAGAATCTCACCATGCTGTATGGCCCTTATGTTGCCCTTGGTACGCGCGACCCCACTTCTTTACAACCCTTGGAGCTTGAGCTAATCTCTGCTTCTGTCCTAGGCGCGTTTATGGCCTTGGATATGTTCGGGCGAATTCGGTCGAGCCTCCTGAACAAATCGAAACGAGAGTGATCGTATTCATGCCGCTCTTATCTTTCTCCACACAGGGCCGAGCTCTTCTAAGGACTTGAGATAAGGAGATCGTACGGTGTAGGAGCCCCCATCGGACCGGGGGGGGGTTTTTAGAACAACAATATGACGGTAGTTTGATAAAAAATTGTTTTGTCAGCGTTGAATAAAAAATATACATTTTTAACAGTTAAATTTTAAAGACATTAACTATACCAGAAATATAAAATTATATTAAAATATTATTAGCCTCTTGGCATCGTGGTTTCCAGGGCAACGTTAACTAACTTATATAATAAGTAGTTAACATAAACTTATTTTAATATAATTATTAA